CGCCACTCAGCCGGCCCTATATTCATCTTTTGAGTATTAAAATTTTAATACATTTTTTTCCTTTCTTAAAATGTGTATACATTTTTTTGGCACCCTCTGTATATGATTATAAATCTATCTGTCGAATAAAATTCTAGAATTAGATTGCTGGGTGAAAAGGTAATGTATTTATAGTTTTGTAACAGATTAGTTTGCTAGGGCTGCTGTAACAAAATACCATAAACTGAGTGGCTTAAACAATAGAAATGTATTGTCTCACAGTTCTGGAGGCTAGAAGTCTGAGATCAAGGTTGCAGCAGGGTCAATTCCTTCTTTGAATTTTGAGGAAGAATCTATTCCAGTACTCTCTCCTAACTTCTGGGGATTCGCTGGCAATCTTTGGCGTTCCTTGGCTTGTAGAAGCACTACTCTGATTTGTGCCTTCAACTTCATGTAGGATTTTCCCTGTGTGTGCTTGTCCACCCTAATGACCTCATTTTAACTTGATTGCCTCTGTAAAGACCCTATTTTCAAATAAGGTCACATTCTGAGATACTGAGGATTAGGACATCAACATATGAATTTTAGGGTACAATTCAACTCATAACAATAGATTTTGCCAATTTTTCCTCTATAGAAGTGCTATTTTGCATTCTCAACAATGGAATGTTTATTTCCCCACAGTCTTGCCAACTGGCAAGCATGGTTTTTTGTTTTGTTTTGTTCTGTTTTGTTTTGTTTTCCAAACTAGGTAAGATAGATAAGAACTGATTTCTCAGTCTTATTTTGATTTTCATTAAAGTTTTATGTGAGCTAAATGTATTTTCATATGTTTAAGGGCAAATTTTATTTCTTTTTCTCTGGAATGTTTGGTCATGTCCTTTGCTAATTATTTTCTATTGTTGGTATTTACAATATAATCTCAATTTCTAGGAGTTACTATATTTATGTAATAAGGAGATTTTAGTGTTTGTGCTATGACATGAAATTTTTTTCCAGTTTGTTACTTGTCTTTTGACTTTGCTTAAAGTGTGTTCTGTATGCATTAAACAGCTTTTTAAAACTGTTATTTGGGTAAATTTATCAATAATTTATTTTGTGGCTTCTTGATTTTGAGTATTGATTGCAAAGGCTTTTTCCACTCCAAGGTTGGAACCTAATTCTCACATATTTTCTTCTAGTACTTCTGCCATTTAATTTTTACATTTAAATCATTGATTCATTTGGGGCTTATCCTATGGTATGAGATACGGATCCAGGTTTATCTTTTTTTGGATGACTACCTGTCTCTAACACAGATATTTCCGATGCCACCTTTATCATGTATTTACTAAATTTTCATTGGTATTTGAATCTATTTCTGGATTTTGTTGTATTTTACCGATTGTCTATCTGTTAATGCACAAATACTTCACTAGTTTAGATATTGAAGGTTTACAGAATATTCTTATAAGACTAGTATGAATTGTAAGTGTACATCTTAAGTAATTACCACAAAATGAACATACTTATGTATCAACCACCCAAATACAGAAACAGAACTTTATCAACACTCTAGAAACCTTCATTATATCCACTCCTAACCACTATACTCAGACTCCTTTCTAAAGGAAACCATTAACTTAATTTTTAGCACCTTAAATTATTTTTTTGGGGGGGGGGTTGTATTATATATAGAATCCTATATAATTTATTCTTTTACACAAATTACATTTTTGAAGATTCATCCATGATGCTGTGTATACCTATAGTTTGTGTTCTTTCCTATATATTATTCTATTAAATGAAATGCTACAGTATGTTTATTCATTCTGCTATTGGCAGACATTTGGGTCATTTCCACTTTTTGACTCTTTGGAATAATATGATATGAACATTCTTATATGTATTTTGGTATGTAAGGGTAAACATTTCTGTTGGGTATATATATCTTCATTCTCTTAATGATAATCTGATTTTAATATAGCCTAATTTATCAATCTTTTCCTTATGATTAGTGCTTTTGTGTCCTAGAAACTTTTCATCTCCCAAGCTCATGAAGATAATTATTTTGTTATCTTTTTTTTTCAATATCAGTATTTGCTTTTTTATTTTTGAAAATCAAGTTATTGAGAAAAAGGGCTATATAATGTTTAATAAGCAGGAATAACATCATTACTATTTTGAGGTTGGCAAAGTGCTTTTACAATATATTATAACGTTTGTTCTTCACAATAATCAGATGAAGTAGGTAGACCAAATGTCATTATCTCAATTTTGTAAATGAGTAAATGGAATTTCAGAGAGGGAAAGTGACATAATAAGTGACATGGCCAGGACTTAGAACCAGGTGCTTTGATGTGGTTTGTAATCCTTTCTGCTCATTGCTCCTCAAGGTTGGCTTCACCTTAGAATCAAGTAAAGAACTTTTTAAAAACACTGATATCTGGGCCCCATCCAAGACGATTAAATTAGACCCTCTGTGGTGGGGCTTGGCACCAGTGCTTTTATTTATTTATTTATTTTATTGTTAGTTTCAGGTGTACAGAACAATGCAATAGTTATCCTTTTCACCCTCACAAAGTAACAACCCCCCTC